AGAGAGAATACAAGTATTCTCAGATGGGCATTTGATACACAAACTGCGAGCAGTCTAATGGCAACAGTGTAAAAGCACAAAACAGATTCTAACAGATTATGTTGAAAAAGTAATTATTTCGATGCCTGAGGAATAAAAATATTCATAGTAATCTACTCACTATAATCTTGAATATAATTCATAGCAACATAATGACATTTCCTTATTGAGTATAGAAGTGATACTTTAGAACTTCTATTCAAAGTGTATATTTGCCAGTAACAAGGGATCTTAGAAGCATGTCTTATCTATCTTGACCAAAAGTGCTCATTGTCACGATACTCAGAACTGAAGATACAATCTAGGCCCACACAGTCCAGATCAAAGCTAATTGGACTTTGTAGCAAGTGAACTCGTGACCTAGACCTCATTAGTCATGATCTAATCAACTGAGCTAGTGGCCACAGAAAATAAGTGTTGGCACTAGACAGTTCCTGGGGCATCATTTCTGCACTTATACAAGTCCCACAATTTTAAAGAATCAGCTTCAGAGATACTGTTCTTCTATGGCTTTACAAGTACATAAAACCATTAACTCATATTTATAATATGGGATAGTTACATATATACAAGAAAGAGCAAAGGGCCAAGAGGCTTAGCAGGCACAGGCTTATACCATCATGCTTGATAACTGTAGTTCAGTTCCTGACACCCACACGGAGGAAGGAAAACTGTACTCCCACAAGTGGTCTTTTTTCAAAAAAATCCCCATACGCACTGTGACAAACTCACTCACATAGAAACAAACCATGTAGAAGTCCAGTTGATATGTTAAAAAAAATTAAAAATTCAACGTTAAATTAAAATTTAACTAAGAATTAAATTAAAAGTTAAAAATTATCCAGAAGACAATGTGAAGAATCAAAGACAGAAAAACGCAAACAAAGCACAACATTTAAGAGCAGTAATCAATGTTTATAACAACTTCTCAGCTGGATCACAAAGCACTTCTGAGAAGCTACCCTCCATTTCAAGCTCAAAGTCACATCCTCCTAAGTAGTGAAGTTGATCTGCCTACTCAACCTTAAACCAGGACAAACAAGGAACCACTCTGGCAGACTCTCTTAACATCTACCTTCCTCCGTACAGACCTGAAAGATATAAACCCCATTGTCCTCAGTCTCTGTAGCTAGCTGTCATTAGCTGTCAGGGGCAATGACAACTAACAACCAAGTGGCCTCTAACAGCACCCGCAAACTCCCAACTATGCAAAAATAGAAAGCAAAGGCTCTAAGATAATTAAAATTTCAAAGACAGAATTTATATTCTTTTTTTTTTTAAGGATCAGTGGCCATAAAGGTCACTTAATAGAGCCGATGATAAAAATATGGGATCCCATTCAGAACCTAGACAAGAAAGTAACCACAGTGACTGAAACAGTTAGGAACTTGAAGTACAAATTTAAAAACATGGATAAAAATCTCAACCAAGAAATTGAGACACTGAGGAGGAACCAAACAGAAACAAGGAAATGTAAGCCAATCAAACTGGAAAATTACAAAAGAATGCCTCATGAGCAGACTAAGTATAAGGATGAGTTTCAAAAAGACAAAGTCAAGACAATAATACATTAAGACAACATACTTTTAAATGTTAACAGGATGATCAAAGCATATGAAATGTCTAACTACATTAAAGAGACTCAATAACCCATGAATTAGAAGGAATTGGGAGGAAGTCAAATAGTGTAGACAAGTAATTCATTGAAATAATAGCAAATAATTTCCTAAAACCGTAAACTGCTATGGACAAATATTTCAATCTACAGTTACAAGCACAATATTTCTGAACAAGGCTCTAGTAGCATTCAGTATAACCCTAAGAACTGTTAAATGGGATCCGAATAGGACTCTAATAACAAAGGAAACAACTCTAAGAACTGATAAAATTAACTACACGAAATTAAAAAGGTTTGGGAAGCCAAGAAACTGTCAGCAGAGCGAACAGACAGCCTACAGATTGGCAGAAAATTCTGTCAGTTATACTTCAGAAAGGGTATTATTACCTAGACCATAGTAAAAACTGCAAAAATTAAATACACGCACACATGTGTGCAACCAACCAATATAATCTAATGAACCAAATAGGCATTTCCAAGAAGAAAAAAATTAACAACAAATAGTTTTTCATGTGTTTCAATATAATCAAGCACCAGAGAAATGCAGATCAAAGGTACATTGAGAGTCCCTCTCCTATCAGTCAGTATGGTTTTCGCTGAAAAAGCAAAATATATCAAATATGATCAAGAGTATGAGAGAATAACCTTAATTCACTGCTAGTGCAATGTACCCTGACTCAGATACTATGGAAATTACTGCTAAATTTTCTAAAAAAAAAAACCTAAAACTACCATGAGATTCAGCTATTCCACAACACAGCATACACTCAAAGAAAGAACACTATATACTACTTCATTAAGACATGCACACCAATCTTACCACTTCTTTTATTTTTTTTTGGCAATAGAAAGAAAATAGAATTAATCTATATATTTTATAAAAATATAAACAATGGTAAATATACACAATGGCATTTTATTTGGCCATAAAGAATAGTAAGTTATAAAACCTACAGAAAAAAAAGATGAATTTGGAAGCATATCAGATAAGGTAACCTGAACTTGGAAACAAAAATGTTGCATATTCTCTCTCTAATGCAGATCCAAGTTTTATTTTTTAATGAAATTTTTTATGCATGTGAATGTTTTGGTTGTATGTACCTTGTGCATACCTAGTGATCACAGAGGCTAGAAAAGGCCTTTCCCCTGGAATGCAACTTACAGAAGGTTGTGAGCTGCCACTTGGATACTAGTAATCAAACTTGATTCTACGGAAAAGCTGCTCTTAACTGCTAAGCCTTTCCTTCACCCCCTAATGGTGTGTGTGTGTGAGAGAGAGAGAGAGAAGGGAAGGGAAGGGAAAAGGGAAGGGAAGGGAAAAGGGAAGGGAAGGGAAAAGGGAAGGGAAGGGAAAAGGGAAGGGAAAAGGGAAGGGAAGGGAGAAGGGAAGGGAAGGGAGAAGGGAAGGGAAGGGAAGGGAAAAGGGAAGGGAAGGGAAGGGAAGGGAAGGGAAGGGAAGGGAAGGGAAGGGAAGGGAAGGGAAGGGAAGGGAAGGGAAGGGAAGGGAAGGAGGGAGAGAGAGAGAGAAAGAGAAAGTGTAATTGGGTGTGAGAGTAAACACAGACCATCAAACCAGGAAGGGGACAAGATGAAAAATGGTTTCAGAAACAGGGAAGACATGTAATATGAAAACAGCAAGAGAACTGCCACATACGGAAAGGTATAAGGGGGGTGGTCATCACAAGGAGGAAGGGATAGGGGACGAGTACCAATAAAAACAAGCTAGAATTACCCATTGGATAATTGCAAAGAGTGATGATGTGCTTCTAGGTTTTAAGCATTTTTTTATTTAGAAAGATGAATTTGTGGGCTGTAATTTGTTTAAGTGCTGGAAATTTGTTTAAGTGCTGGAAATTTATCCAAGTTATCAAGAGAATATACTGTTTTTCCACAATGTCTGAGTTCAATTCCAAGCATGCATGTTACGTATCTCACAACTGTTTGTAATGCTAATTACAGGAGCATTGTATGCCTCTCACATGCACCTGCAATTGTGTACACATATCCACCCATCTCACATATATACATGTAATTAAAGGATTAATAAAATATTTTTCTTTAAAAAAAAGAAATGCCAGAATGAAACCATGACTTTGTATTCTAACTAAAAATAGAAAAAGAGACAAATAAGAGCTTTCTTTCCATCTTCCACTCTCTATCATGATGCAGACCCCAGGTCAGGAACACTAAATGCATCCTGCAATCTTCTGACAACTAAATTTGGTTAGCGCATAACCCACTCTAATATAAAGGAATAACAGAAAGTTCAGAATATTTTACATGTATCACTCTTATAATACTAACACATAATTAAACCAAATATAAGCTTTTAGTCATAACAGCATGATACATGACTTCAACTGTACTCTGTCATGCATGCTCGTCTTTTGACAGTTACTATAGTGAATAAAACTCAGACTTTCTGAGAGCTCACAGGGTGATATCACTGGGATCAGTGAAAGTAACCATGGGGGAAAAAACAAAGACAGCAGCGTTATCTTGAGGAGCAGCCACACAGTAGAGATGCAAGAAGCATTCATTCAGCAGGCATGTGAGGAGTCCCCACCCTGTAGGGATGCGAGGAACAAATTTACTGCAGGAACACATATACTCCAGGGATGCAAGGAACAGAGACACTACAGGGCCAAAAGCAAGACACTGAGAGAACCGACATTCACTTAGGGACATTCAGAAACTCTGTTTGCTAACAAAACTCCAGGATGAAATCACTGATGACAACTTGGAAAAATTTAAATTTAAATTCTTCATTTATAATAATACATTGACTTGCAATTTAAAATGGCTGCAAAAGCCAATAAATTTACAAATTGCTACTACTGCTGAGGCAAAGAATATAAGACAGATGTGAGTGGACAGACTTAGGTAGGAAAATATGATTCATAAAAGATCATTGTTCTCATATAGATTTAACTGTGAAGAAGTCTACAAAATTCCCAATATATGTTTTTTTTTAAAAAAAATTTACAGATGAACACAAGCCCCACACTTTTCATCTTAATATTTAGAAAATCACAGATGTTAAGGCATTATTAAAGCATGGCCATAAATAACAGGAAATACAAGCTTTTTTCAATTTAGGGAAAATTATTAAAGTACATGCAATTTCAACAATCTAAAATATTCTGGGAAAGCTAAGTAAGATGAAAATATGAGTGTATATTGTACAGACCAAGTTTTAAATATCAGTGTAATTTAAATAACTCGGCTATGGTTTAAAAAATGTTAAAATCATGCAAACAATCACGGGAGCAGAGGACAGTGTTAGACAGAACAGTATTGCCCTAAGCTGGAGGAATTAACCCAACCTCAGCATCCGACTTACATTGCTCCATTGGTATAGACTGTGTCACTTCCTTCCACATACTGCACCTGAGCTGGGTAGACATGTTGGACCTGCTGAACTGTCTGTACCTGCTGCACCTGAAAAAAAGTATGAGTAACATGTTAGGAGGTAGACATACAAAAGGCACACCACACCAGATCCACAGGAAGTGGTAGACGTAAATCCATGGTAAACAATACTCCTAGAAAGGGTATACTATATTAGATCCATGGTAAATAGACAGAGTATATCATATTAGATCTATCTCGGATTTTCCAGCAGGAGATAGTTAGGGATGAAATCTCTTAGGTTTATGCTACTTTCAAGTTAAGAAACTTATATGTTTAGATTAAATATAGCACTTACATTTTGCAAGTTTCTCCCTAATTTTGATGGTTTATAAAATTCTACTCCACTTTAATTTTTAAATAATTATAAAGCTAAATGCTAAATTCATTTTTGATTAAAATCAACCCTCTCCATCCGTATAATATTACTCATATATATTCTTTTGACCATTTGGTATTGGATTGATAAGCTCTCCTGAAAACATATCACATACAAGAAACACTATATGGGCTAAACAAGGTTGTATTTCACATATTTAGAAAGACATATACACATATGTGGAATATTCTTTTACACTGTGTGATTATATGTTACTGTAATTGGTTTAATAAAGAAGCTGACTAGCCTATAGCTGGCAGGATAGGCTAGGCAGGAGAATCAGACTAAGAAAATTCTGGGAAGGAGGAACTAAAGGTGTCTCAAGGAGACTCGAAAAGAAGAAGATGAACCTGCTTACTAAGAAAAGGTAACAAGCCAAATAGAAATAGAAAACAAAACATATGACTGTGGTGCCTACTAACTTATCAAAGGCATGGAATCCCCTAGAGATGAAATTTCAGGTACTAGGGTGCCACCCAACACGGGTTCTTTCTTAATAGATGTAGATTATAAAGCCACTGAAATACTCCTCTCCACCCAACATCACAGTTAGTGAAATCAAGGGCAAAGTGAAATCCACAAAGGTCTATTCCAACCAATGAACACTGTCATACAATGCAAATTGAGAACTCAGCCCATTCCATTTTATTTGAAAATTATTATTATATTTGCCCAAAGCTCCAAACAGGTTAAACCAACAGTAAATGCCAAATAATTACCCAATAGTTAAATAATGCACAGTACCCAGCAAATGAACTGCCAATAAATATTTATGCAATTTATATTATCTTCTAACTTTTGGCATCAACTTTTATTGAAGAATAATGAAGTTACTAAGAAACACATATTATTCAAAAGTAAACTAATAAGACCATTTTATAAAAGACATATTTTTCTTCATATTTATGTAGATATATCTGTGTGAATGTAGGCCATTTGCACGCAAGTGTCTACAAAGAACACTGGAGCTGGAGTTATAAGCAATTGCAAGCGGTCTAATATGTGTGCTAGGAAGTAAACCAAGTCTACTGGAAAAACTGCATGTGCTCTTAGCTGATGAGCCATCTCTCCATTTCCCACTAAAACCGCTTTTAATGCTGCTTAATGTAGCACTAAAGATGAGACGTGAAATTTTCACACTGCATGCTATTTTCACTTTCTAAAACAACAAGGATTCGAAATTATCCAAATATCATTTGATATTCTATTAAACATCAAGTGATGTTTGGATCCATGTTAAAAGGTTATACATTAGAAGCTGATTTCCAATTTTAATTTTCACTAGCTTAATGCAGGAAAATTCAAGTAGGTATTGAGAAGGAAAAATAATTTCCTATGGATAGTTCATCTCCATCTCCAATAGCTTTATTTCCCATATGTCTTGTGAAGTCTCTAACTTGGCTCATCTGTTGCTATTTGTCCCCACCCATGTCCTTAGAAAAGGAAATTATTAAAGTCTACATGAAATTGATTATATATTTTGATTTTATTTACTTCAAAAATAAATCCCCAAAAATCGTAATATTTTTCACCATTTTTTAATTTTAGTAAAGAGTTTAGTGGTCAAAATACAAATTAGAAAGAGAGAGAGAAAGGTAGATTTAACAGTTAATCAATTTTTTTATAATTAACTATTCATTGACTAATAGTGACTCTAATATATGAAACTCAAAATGGCCTTGGATCAACTTTTCAAAGCTTAGAAAGTTGGCAGTAATGAGGGTCTCATTATAACAACATTCAACACCAGAGAGTTATTCTGTCCATTAATCAAAAATACAGTGCCAAAATGTAAATATATGAAATAAAGCATTTCTATTTACTATGACTAGGTGTTGAAAAAACCTAACTCTTTCACATGAACATATATTTAAATAAACAGAAGCACTCATATCATCATTTAAAGCATAGCACTCTGAAGTTATTTGCTTATTTAATGCACAAGTTTTATGATTTGCATTATTTACAATAGAAGTGAATTTCAAAGCAAATTACACACCACAGGAACATGTGCTAGTTCAACAGAATCAATTAGTATATTTTGAGGACAAATTTACACAATATGTTATTTTGGATGTATTTCAAGAAAAAGAACATGAATCATACTTCAAAGCAGAAACCTTCTCAATGGTAAATGAAACCATGTATAGTTTTTAAGTCCATTATTCAGCAGGAGCTTTCTAGTATCTTTGTAAAAAAAAAATCTTTCTCATGTCAAGATAATTATCTTGCTTATAATAGCATGCATTCCTTATACATTTAGTTGGCACCAAGTGTTCTAAGTATTCAACCTAAGAACTACATAAAGCTGTATTAACAGCACATTCAGGCCTACATGAGAGCTCTACACAGATTAAAAAGATGATATGGAAGGGCAGTTAGGTGAAAGGCTGCTATGCGACTGGCAATAAAGATGCTAAAAAAGGAACAAAGGGAAAAGTGGTTTGTCTAAGGAGCAGAGAGTTAGGAAGATAGAAATCATAAACATGTAACGCACACACAAACACACACACACACACACTGTCTCATCTCTGGTTAAAAGTAATATAAATTCTGCCATAAGCTTTTTAGTATGTCTTAGCAAGAAGACTCTTACCATCATTGTGACTACGAGAGTAGCTGTAAGTAAAGATTCATGAGCACCAAATGACACTGAACAGGACACTCCAGGGGGAAGTTATTTAAATTTTCTCCTGTTGCACCTTTTGAGGAAAAGGACTTCTCTACAATGTTAATATCTACAGGCTTCATCCTAGGACAGTCCATATTAACCAAAAGAAGACTTTCAGTCTCCTGAGCATGGTTGTCCCTTCACAAAGAAGATAGAAAAATGGACAGCAGGAAATTACTGTAATAGAAACTAGAATTTGTTTCCTGACATCATAAATTCTCTCTGTGACCAGAGGTTGGCTAGCTTGTCCACTTACACACTGTGTAGGTTCTGATTGGAAGAAAATTTCATGTCTTTAGATAGAGTTTCTTGAAGTAGACTTTAAGTGAATCCAGTAAAATTACCAAAAGGCTTATTTCTGTGGCAGGACTACAGACAGACTGAGACACAAGCTTCATAAGATTATTTGCTAAAACTATTCAACTGCTATGGGTAACCTGAAGAAGTTTCATTTGGGCTTCAAATACAACCAGAGAGCAGTATACTCCTGATGGGCTCAGTCTCCTTCTGACCACACAAGAAACGGGGAAATCAAATAGTAGAGAATTAACTCTGTAAGACACTCCTAACTGCTATCACACATCACATTCTCAAACGACCTAACAGCAGAACATGAAGCCATTAGAAAGAGATGAAGTGTCCAAAGGCAAGGAGGAAAGCCCAGGGAGTAAGATGAAACTCAGGGAAGTTCGTTTACACAATTTTCAATCACAAAATACAATGGATGCCATGTAAATAAACTTATTTTTTGTCATTAATGTAGTAATTGCTTTCTACAAAGAATAATATTTTAGCATGGTTATAATAAGTTCTTAAACATTATTTCTCTCAAGGCCCACTAGAACACACCACTAAGATCTACAAGTAATATTTTAAAAAATGAGAATATACATTTTAAAGAATTTTCTTGTGATAACACCTATATACAAATTCCACACTGAATCAGGATCTCCTGGAATGATGTCTATGTAGTTCCTGTAGGGTTCTTGAGGTAAGAACATGTGTTATTAGCTTAAGTGTTACCATTCTAGTCTTCCTCTAGTGTTTTTCCAAATTTGGGAAAATCTAAATAACTAAGATATAGTGTGCTTGTGCTAATTGGTTTTCTTTACTCAATAATATATCTTAGAACTGGGGTGTGTGTGTGTGTAAGTGTGACTGTATGTACATTCACCTAAAGCTACTGTTAGTTGACTTTAGAGTATTCTACAACATAGATTAGTTAAATGTTTTACTTTTAGGGAGCATTTAGGTTACTTTTTATATTATCAAGTGCTCTAAATAAATAAGGGACTTGATATAGCTTAGTGGTAAAGTGTTTGCTTAGCATATATGAGACAGTGAATTCCACCTCAACACTACAAAACAAAACAAAACAAAACCCACTTGTTTAAGAGTGAAAATTATATTTATTTTAAGTTGTTTTTGGCATAATGGCTGCAATTCTAGGGCTAAGGAACAGAAAAGGAAGACCGTGGTATAAGGGCCACACTTAGCAGTGTGTCTGCCTACACTCTCTCATATGTTTACTTGCCATTTGTTTTCATGCTTTGTGAATGAAAGCCTTTGTCCAGTAATCCACAACACTGATTTCTCATCCATTACTGGTTTTGAAGGTTCTTGTAAACAAAGCTTTTTTTCCCATATACTCAATGTCATTCTACCCTTAGGTTTATTTGTGTTGGTTGCTAATACATTTTGTTATTTATAATGTTGAGGCTGGCCTTGAATTTAAGAGTCCTCCTGAATCAGCTTTCCTAATGATGGGATTTTAAGGGTACACTATTATGCACAGTATGTCAATAGTTATTAGATAGAATATAACAAGCTAGTTCTTAGATGCCTAGTGGTGTTTTATATTCTATGTAAGCTGATTTTCCTTTTCTAAGATCAGGACATACAAGTTTGCCTTTATATTTTTATTCTTTTGAACACTAATTCTATAGTTCTTTTGTGCTATCAAAACAAAGGTAAAACTCT